CCAGCACGGCACCTCTCCTCGTCGGTCCTCTATCACTTGAATAAGAAGTTGTCATCAACGCATTCCAGGAGCCATCCTGTGACATCCTACATTTCCACAATGCCAATGAGGTCATAGCCCTTCATGCGTGCACATGCCTCCAGCTCCTCTTGTTTTTCCCCGTGCTCGGTGCGTTCACACAGAGGCATTTAAGGTGGGCTCCCAATGGAGTTGGCTTGCTGACTGGCTCATCTCGAATTCCCCTGTTTTGCCTGCCAGGTGTTTTCCTGGTGAGCAGTGATTCTTCTCCAGGCTCTGGGCATCCCTTGGTGTCCCTGCTGGTTTTTCCCCCCTCCCCCTTCCAACCTAGTTTAAAGGCCTGTCAATGAGCCCTGCCAATCTGTGGGTTAGAATCATTCTTCCTCTCTGAGACAGGAGCCCTCCTGACATGGATCTGCAGGAATATGTGGGCTTTTTTGTGTCAAGCACACTTTATCAGGCATCCACGAGGTGCACTGATTTCAGCAGGCAAGGGATGTTGAAACATCCCTGAGGCTAGGTGCCCAAGTGGTTTTGAGAATGTGACCTGGGCTTTTGTTGAGGTGCTCCTGAAAATCTGACATTGCTAATTTTAGCTGCAACGCAGGAGGCTTTTGTACTGCCTAATCTCTGTCCTGCTGTCTTCCCAGGATGTGCTATGGGAGCAGGTCTGCCCCAGGTTTCCTTCCTTGCCCTGTGTCTCTTAAATCCCAATCAAAAAAGCCAGCAGGAAGATCTGGGGTGAAGAAAAGGTCATTAAGACACTCACTGGATATCCTCTGGCAATGATGTTAATGCCAAATGATCTCAGGCTAGGTGTTACTGATCCTGCTGTCAGGAAAGCTTTGGCAGTGTCCTTTGCTTGGATGGAGAAGCCTTTGCTGCCAGAGATGTGGGGTGACTGTTTGTGTGTGTTTCAGACACATAGTGATGAGGAAGATGCTGAGAATGATGACCTGAATGATGCAGGTGAGTCCTCTAGCAGTACCCAGCTCTTCTGTGGGAACAGCCAGAACTTACACTATCCCAGAGGGTGCTGGGCTTGTCGGAATGGGGTCTGAGCAGGCAGTGGCTTTGCAACATTCAGCAAAAACAACACAAAAGGGAGCAGAGAGATTGGGAACATTGGCAAGGGCTACCAAAGGCTAGTTCAAGTTGAAAACACCAAACTTGCCTCAAGAAAGTTTGAAAAATTGTGTTGAAGCAAGAGCCTTCATGAGTGAGCAAAAACCTGCAGAAAAATGAGCTGTAAGGATGACGGGATTGTCAGGGTGACAGCAGGAAGCAAAGGTAGGATGGAGAGAGAGGATTCTGGACAGGCAAAACTGTTCTGGAGCTGGGCATCACTCTGTGCATGTGGGATACTCACCTGAGGTACAGGATTCACTGTGAAGTAACAGAAAGACAGTGATAATAAACAGATGATCTGAGAACACTGTTACAGCTGTAGGCTCAGATTTGCCGAAGTGTAAGCAGTGGCTCACCTAGCAATGACCTGGAAGATGAGACAGTAAGTATAGAAGTGATGTAAATACTATTTCTGGTATAGTTATATATATATATTCTGGAGGTCTGGAGGGTACCTGCATGCCAGTAGTGCTCAAGGGATCTGGGGTCTTTGGGAAATGGGGCAAGGATGCACCCTTTCTGTCCTTTTGTTACTGGTGCCCCAAAGAAGAGTGTAGCTATGCGCTTTCCATGCACAGCTGCCTGCGCCCAAAGTGGTAGTGATGCTTCAGTTAGACATCCACCCAAACCAGCAGTCCATCAGATTAGGCATCCATCCAAAGAAGAGGGTTAGCTCTCATGGTGCCTCCCCTGACAGCACCAGTAGGCTGGTCCTTCCTCCATTTGGTCTCTGCCCACTTCCTTCCTAAACAGTAGTCATGCAGGCAGGCAAGTGTGTGCCAATTTTTGTCCCCCCACGTGTCCAGCCATGCCTTTCTGGGAAACCTGAGATGCCATAAGGACACCTCTCACAGGCTGGCAATCTCCAGTTACCTTGACACAGGTCAAAGCCCTGGGTGAAAGCGAAAGCTGTTGCTGGGGCCATTTCATGACGGGAGAGAGCAGAGCATTTCCTAATCTACTGTTGCCATTCCCAGATGGAGGGAATTTAAATGCATCCTCCATCGACATGGAAGCAGTAGACAAGGCAGTAACTGAAGCTCAACCTGTTCGACCCAAGAGGAAGCTCATCGCTACGCTTCAGGTGATTATTGAGGTGACAGACCTGGCCTCTTTCAACCCCTGCCCTTTGTCCATGTCCTCCTCACCGCCTGCAGTGGAGGTTAGACTGGGAGGAGAACCTGCAGTGTGTGCTGGGCCCCCATCCGTCATTGCTGGGCTTTGAAACAGCTAGTGGGACCTTGGAGCTAAGCTGGGATGTGTGTGTACATCTGAGGGAGACCTGGGGGGATACGGGAAGTCTGTAACACCTTCCACTGGCTAATCCAGCAGTAAGGTAGGACTTGGTGAAGTGGTTGAAGCGGGGGAAGTATGGTCTTTCTGACTCTTCACCTCTTTAAGATGTCATGAAAAAGCCCAAAATTACTTTCTGCTCATTTCAGATCTACAACTCTGAGCTGGAAAATGAGTTTGACAATTTTGAAGACTGGCTGTGTATTTTCCCCCTTCATCGTGGCAAAGCAAATGAGGATGAAGATGCAAACGAGGATGAACATTTTGTGGGGAAGTACAAGGTACTGTATCATTCGAATGACATTTGTGCTGCGGGTGGAAGAAAATCCTTAGGATAACCTGTATTTCAGAGCAAAGCCTTGGAGAGTGTGTGTGTGCACTCAGGGTGATGTGGGGCCACTCTGTGGCATGGCCAGCATATTGTTACTGCCTGTTGAAGCAATTTTGTGCTGTGGTCCTTTATTAGTTGACAAATGCACCTGATCAAGATTTTTTAGCTCTTGTGAGGAGAAAGCAGGAAGCATAAAGGACTCTTATTCTGGTTGGGGCCTCTGGGTATGTTCAGTATGCAAATAAGAATTAGTGAGCTTCACTGGCTTTAAAATTAGTAAAACTTGTTTAAGAAAGGCATCATCCTCCCATCGAGGAGCTCTTGAAGACTGAAGTATCAACTACAGAAGTTAATTGAAGAGGGTCCTGAGAAAACCTTTGGTGCCCCCTGCCTTTCGCAGTCCAAAGTGCCTGGAGATGTTCAGATCCGGCATTGGCAGTGGTCTGACAGCCTGCAGCCTAACTTGCAAACAGGGACTGCCTGGGCCATGTGGACATGAGTGTGCCTTTGGGAAGGACTGCTCCCATGGACACAGCATGCCTGTGGTCTGCATGGGGCTATGGCTCTGATTTTCCAGTTGGCAGGTGAAGCTGGTCTTGGTGCCTCCAATCCCACCTGAGGTATTCTGCTTTGTGTCTGCAATGTCTTTTCTGCAGGGGTCCTTCTATGTCTACCCCACCGAGGAAGCTGGCACAGAGCCCAAGGTCTCCCAAGGTGTTCCAAGGAACAGACCCATCAAGGTTCTTGTAAGAGTTTACATCGTTAAGGTGAGTCTCTGGTGGTAGTGGCAGTAATGCTTGGGGGTCTGTCCCTCCCTGTGGACCTCCTGCTATTCATTACTCAGTAAATATGAGCAGTGGCACTTGTGAAAAGCTCGATGCTGATCTGAAGGCACTGCCAGCCCCATGGAAGTCAGCTGCATCTTCTCCATGGGGAACCTTGCATGCTTTGTAGCTTTAGGAGGTGCTAAAAATCCAGATGGGCATTTCTCAGCTCCTCTCATCTGCCCTGAGACAGGGATGGGCTGACAGCTGGGGACACCGGTGGCTTGTTGTATGGGGATTTGCATGGGAACCAGTGCCTGTTTCAATGCTGGGGCAGTTGCTGAGCGGGACTTGACTAGTGGGCTTGGGTGGTCTCAGGCCTGTGCAGTGTTCCTTGTGTAGGCTGTTCTCTGCAGCTGGTGTATGGAAGTACCTCTCATGTATTCCAGGCTACGAACCTGTCTCCAGCAGACCCCAATGGCAAGGCAGACCCCTACGTGGTGGTGACTGTGGGGCAGGAGCAGAAGGACACAAAGGAGCGATACATCCCAAAGCAGCTCAATCCTGTGTTTGGAGAGTATGAAGGAAGTTTCCATCTATCAGGTTCAATAGGAATAGGGCAGATCTGGGGCTCAGGTTGTGGCCCAGCATGTGTGGTCCTGTGTTTCTTTGTGCTGGAGAAGCTTGTGCTGCAACACAAAGGTCCCAGGCATGTTTCTTTCCAGCTGACACAGGAGCTATAAAGTGTTTTGAGTTAGGAGGGGAGCACTCCCAAGGGCTTGATTTAACAAGCCAAGCAGCAACAAAGCATTGGAGGGCTTTTTCCCTAGCTACAGGACCTCTATCCAAGGGCATACATGCCTGGAAAAGTAACTTTCTTGTTTGAACATGTGCACTGAAAACTGCACGTGCTGAAAACTGCACAGGCCGAACTTAGGAAAATCAAACTTTATCAGAGGTCTTTGAGCTGTCAAATACAGTTCTTAAATGTGTAGGATAATTAACTTGTTTAATTTCCATCTTCTTTGCTACTTACACTGTCCCTGTCTGCTTCTGTCCAGAGTTGTGGAGTTGACAGTCTCCTTTCCCATGGAATCAGAACTCACTGTGGCAATATTTGACCATGATTTGGTTGGATCTGATGATCTGATTGGGGAGACCAAGATTGACTTGGAGAATCGATTCTACAGCAAGCACAGGGCCAACTGTGGAGTGGCTTCTCAGTACGACATGTAGGTTCTGGTGTGACACGTTAAGGCCATGAGACACATTCTTCTTACCTACTGTTTGAGTGGGTAACACCACCTCCAGTTTTGCAGGGCAGAGCTTGCATCCACAGATTCACTACAAGTTACATGGATAACTCCATCTCCTTTAGACTCCTACCGGCTTCCTGTGATAGCTGTAATTCCTACTGCAGACTAATATATTTTGCATATAGTAGCAAAAACTTCTTTAATGCTTTCATATTGGTGTTCTGTGAGAAAAGTGACATTGATGTAATTTTGACCTTTTTCAGAAAGTTAGGGTGGTTTCTCTGGCCTCTGTTTTTTTCTGTGGGCAGCAAAACTCATGACATCTGCTTTCCTTTGGCCTCACTCAGTGTGGATTCTATGGTATCCTTGGCCAGTTTACAGAAAAGTTTTCTCCTGCCCCACTGCTGGAGAATTAGCTGTGGGCATGGAGTTGAGACCCCAGCACTGCTAAAGCCTCTCTCCCGCTTACAAGCTTCATCTGGAATTGCTCTTGCTGCTGCTCTGAAGCTAATGGTTCTGTGGGGTGCAAGCCTGGCTTGTTCGAGGGAGGAGAGCTTGTTAAACTTTTCATTCATTAAACTGTTGTGTGCCTGTGGTTTTCCCAGTGAAAATCTGAGCAGGGATCTGGCAGCATAGCTTTTGCTGTAGGGAAGGCAGGGCATTTCACAGTCTAGGACAAAAAACCTGTTGTGTCTAAGATGAAGATGTTGTCTTTGTTCTCCCTTCCATGTAGAAATGGCTACAACATGTGGCGAGATGCTTTTAAGCCCACACAGATCTTGGATAGTTTATGCAAGAAAAACTCACTCCCTGCAGCAGAGTATAGACGGGAGGAGGTCAAAGTGGACAACAAAGTATTCAAGATTCCTCCAGAGGCTTTTTCTGAAGGTACAGAGGTCTTGGGGAAGAATGACTGCTCCCTTAAAGAGCTGTATGTGCTCAGCAGTGCACACACTGGTGAGAGGTCTGGGAACACACCAGCCTCTCTTCCTTGGGTGTCCAGGCTGGCTGTCCCCCTCTGTGCCCTGCATGGCCCAGCTTTCTCAGTCACAGCAGGGAGCATCCTTGGTGCTCAGTGGCCTGGTTTCAGTGGACGATGGTGTTACACTGTGGAAAAAGGTGATCCAGGCAGTTAGGTCCCAAAGTGGCTTCCCAGGCAGTGGGGGCAGCAAAGTAAACCTGCTTGCCTGGCAGTGATGTGTATGGGGGTTTGATGGCTTGGGCAGCCAGAGAAGGCGTAGCTTGTTGTGGTGGCTGACACTGACTCAGAGCTGTACCTCCATCTGCTTGTGCTTGTGCTCACCATCGGCGAGATACTAGCATCCTTTTTTTTTTGTTTTCTTTTTGGGTTGGGTTTTTTGGGGGGGGTTGGGGGGGGAGGTGCAGGGTGAGATGGAGCTTTTCCAGTCTTCTTTCATGTTTTTAGCTGGCTTTGTCCTTCAGGGATGCTCTCTGCTTCTGGTGGCTTTGGGTACCTTGGCTGACTCCCCACTGCTCCTCACTACTGTTGATATCCTCCTTGTGGGTGGCCTTCGCAGTTTTTCTTTCCTTCTCACTGGCGTTACAAACCCTGAACCAGGGCTATGGATGTCCAAGAACCCAGCAACCTTCCATGCCTTCCATCAGCAGTGATGGAGAACTTCCCTGAGCACAGGCCTGACCCTCCTGTGCACATTCCCTCCGGTGGCCAACACCCGTGCAGTTGAATCCAGCTGGGAGGAAAGGATGGAGCAGATGTGGCCCATGTCTGGATGGCTGGGCCCCAAAAGGCCTGTAGAAAGTATAATCCCTGTGCTTACCCAGAGAGGTGGGGACCTACATGTATGGCCAACTTTACCTTCTGCTCATTTCAGTGCTGCTGTTCTTCAGCTTTCTACTGGCTTCTATGGATTATGTCTTGAAGGGGAAAGAAATCCTACTCAGGAGAGGGCAAGGAGCCTTCAATAGCCCTTCTCCCTCTTCCTCAGGTCACTGGGTAGCTGGGAAGGGAGGAACGAGATGCTCTCCTGGTGTTCCCTGGGAGCTGCTCTGGTTCAAATGTGCTGTAGTTGGATCCCCTTGAACTGTGCTCAGGGACTGCTTGGGATGGTTTCAGTCTCAGACTGATCTCTAGGGGGCAGATGGTCTCCACAAACTGAGGGGTGGGCGGGTCATTTTGTCCTCACCTTTCTCCCTACCAGCAGAATTTGGTCTTGAATGGCCATTTGGCTTCACTGTGCCAAAGGAGTCAATTAGTCGCGCAGACGATTATTTACTGGAGAGCACGGTAGCCTCTCACTGCCAAATGCCAAGTCGTGCTTTTCTGGAGCACTTCTAGGGCAAAACCTCTCATCCGTGGATCTATTGGCACTACCACAGAGACATGGGGACTTAAACTGCGCCAGAGGGTCACATCCTCCTTGTTGTCCCCCAGATCCTTTTCCCAGAGCCACAGGAAATTCTTTTGGGCCCTTCACCTCTTATTTCTCTTAGCTTGTTTTTTTTCCTGCCTATAGTTTTCTTTATCACTGCAACATACTGAACTCATTCCCTTCATCCTCCTGCTTTTTCCCATTTTGTTCTTCGGGGGAGGTGCTTGCTTGTCCAGTCCATCATCTTCCCTTATTTGTGCCTGGACTAATGTCCTGACATGGCTCTTGCTGGCCAGATGTCTTCATCTTCTACCTGTCTGTGTCCTGCTGCAGAGGCCTCTGTGAGGAACAAGAGAGAAGTGGCAGAAGAGAACTGGCCAGTGGATGATGAACATAAGGCTTTGTACGTCCTGCAGCACTGGGAAGAGATGCCAGGATATGGGTACAAGCTAGTACCAGAGCATGTGGAGATCCGGTCTCTGTACAACCCGGAGAACCCTGGGCTTGTGCAGGTGAGATGTGTTTCTTTGCCCAGCCTAGACTTTGCTCTGGGGAAGGACCTTCAGGGCAGCTGAAGACACCCTGGCTGGTCTCCTGTTGTCCTTCTGTCTCCTCATCATGGCATGAATCCCATGCATTGCCCCTTCCTGGGTGGGTGACCAGAGCTGGGTCTGTGGGTGGCCCTGCTGTGAAGTGAGGACTGTTGGCCTTGGGTGTCCTTTGCTTAGATCCACCCTCTGACCTCTCATGGTGTTTCTGAACACCCTTTCCTCAAGGGACTTCTGTCCATTGATGTTGTGGTCACATTGCTGGTGGCCCAGAATCCTTCCTGTCTCCTCAGGCCATGCAGCACTGCTCTGATGAGGATGCTGGGGGGAGGATGTTCTACCTTCTGAGCCCCACCACCATGCACCACCGTGGGTGGTAGTGTCCTCGCCTGTCCTCTTAGTGTCCCCTAAAGGGGCCTTTTCCTCTGCTTTGTCCCCATCAGTGCTGCTTTGCTCCCCTGCAAGATCCCCGTTCTGCCCCCCCAGCTTCTCCCTGGGGCCATGACGTAACTGCTGGCTGGAGGAGAAACATTCCTCCTCAGTTTTATGCAGTGCAGTGATTTGAGCTTAGCCACTTCCATGTCCTGCACTGAACATGTTCCTTTGGGTGACAGAGGTCTGTAACAAAGCAGGGCTCTGCAGTTACTCCGGCTTTTGTCGGCTTTGGATATGTTTGTGGAGGGTCGGGTCAGACCCATCACTTCTTAGTTTTCTTGGTTATGCTGAAGCATTGCAACATCATATGCTTCTTGTTACGACAGAGGGACATGATTGCCTCTGAAATTAACTTAGTTCAGCTGAAATGTTTTTTCTTGGGAACAGGGGGGAGGGAAATAAACAATTCCTGGTATTTTTAATTTTTTCCCTATTTAAAATCCAGTCACACGTTACTCTGAAGGGCTGGGGTGTGCCAGCCAAGCAGTGGCTTTCTGGTGTGAGCTTTCCGTGTGGGATCAGGCCCTTACTCCTTGAAGGGCTGGAGGGTGGTCTGTCTTCTGAAGTCTCTCAGCTGTCTTCTCTCATCAGGGCTCCCTGCACATGTGGATTGACATGTTTCCAAACGATGTCCCTGCACCGCCGCCTGTCAACATCAAGCCACGACTGCCTGTCAGGTAGCATCCATGGGAGTGGGGCTGGGGCTGGTGAGCCTGTGTGCAGGATCACTGTCCCTTGCTGTGCCTGGTGGGATGTGCCACAGAGTCCTGCACAGGCTGATGGTCTGTGCTAGCCTGGCATGCAGCCCTCCTCTCTGCGTCAGCTCCGGCCATGGGATGGCCCCTGGGTATACCTGCGTGGAGCATAAGCGCTTTCAGCTGCACAAGTGTTTGTGAGGGGCAGCGTTAATCTCTAAGGCTGGACATGAAGGTGACAAAAACCCAGACGGAGCTACTCATCTGTTTTGGCTAGTGGACAGATGTCTGCAGGGTGCCTGGAGTAGTAAAGCTGAAGGAGATCTGCTGTTTTCAGTGATCTAATGGAGCTGTTGAGATGGAAGGTCCAGATTCCTTTCAGAGGTGCACATGAAAGGACAAGAGATCATGGACACAGATTGCAGCAAGGGAAACTCCAACTGAAAACATTTCCCAGTGAGAGTGAAGCTACCCTGGGATAGGGACAGAGTGACCCAGAGAGGTGCTGGGATATCCATCCTTGGAGATATGCAAAATTGATGCAGATGAAGCCCTGATCTACTATGGAGTTAGAGCCAGAGGTTGGAGCAGAGACTGCAGAGGTCCCTTCCTGCCTAAGCCTTTTTGTGCTCCTATGGCTAAGTGGTGCTGGGTGGGTTTCCCAAGCACCAGGGATTTGCTTTGCACAAGCCGCCTGTTTTGCCTGTGGATGTTTGTCTTGTGGCTACCCCCCACCCCCGGGAAGGGCTTTGCGCATGGCAGCGAGACTGCTGGCCTGTGCTTTGCCAGAGGAGCCGTGGCAGGGGACCACAGTGATAGGAAGGTTCAAGTTCTGCTGCTCTGCCAGTGTGGGCTTGCCCTGCTCTCCCAGGCACCAGGGGCAACAGAATGAGTCTCACTCACCCCTGTGTCCTTCCCACAGCTATGAGCTGCGTGTGATTATCTGGAACACAGATGATGTGATCCTTGATGATGTCAACCCAGTAACGGGAGAACCTTCCAGCGACATCTACGTGAAAAGGTGTGATGGGAGCCAGTGGGAGACCAGAGCCTGTCTGTCTTGCTCCCTGTCCTGCCCCACATCCTCACTGAACCTCTGGTTGTCCCTGTCTCAGCATGAGGTGCCCCTGTATGGACTGCTGTACCCCCGTAGAGATGTTGGTTGGGTGTTGGTCTGGTTTGGCTCTTTGACTCTTCCTTTCCTGCTACCCGGTGAGGTTCAGCCCTTCTGCTCTGCCTTTGGGGCTGGCTAACAGGGTGTAGGACATGACTGAGTTTCTCGTGCAGCTGGATAAAGGGTCTTGACCATGACAAGCAAGAGACGGATGTTCACTTCAACTCCTTGACTGGAGAGGGCAATTTCAACTGGAGGTTTGTTTTCCGCTTCAACTATCTCCCGACCGAGAAAGAGATCACCTACAAGAAGAAGGACTCTGTCTTCTCCGTGGAGGAATCAGAGTTTCGGGAACCGGCTGTTGTGGTTCTCCAGGTCTGGGATTACGATAGGATTTCAGCTAATGACTTTCTAGGTATGGTGTGACCTGCCCCTCATCTTTCTAGAGTATTACAGTGTTTCTGCTGGGGCCCAGCTCTCTAAGAAGGGACACAAGGAGCATCAGATCAAGCTCTTCAGCTCAGCAGTCTCCTGGTCCTGTTTTTCACATGTGAGCTATAGGCAGGGCCTGGAGATGTGCACCTCTCCTACACAGACCTATTAAGCTCCCAGGGCATTGGTGTCCTTTTTCAGGGCCTTTCACACCACAGGACTTCCAGGTTCTGCTTCTCAACAACCCTTCTGATAAACTTGCTCATTTTCCCTGCTCTCACTTAGATATGCAGACCCCAAAGACTTGGCCAAGGAGCAGCTTTCCTAGGAGCTTACATTGTGGGCACAGGGATTGGCAACCTTTGTGAGACTTTGCAGTTGAGTTGCAGCATTCCATCACTGGGGGCTCAAGCTCCCTGGCTGCTCTGGTATTTCCCAGTAACCAAACCTGATGAGCTGGGCATGCAGCAGGGCATGGTGATGAAGCTGGGCTGGTCGTGATTCTGCCCACACTACGCTAGCACAAACACTATTGCTTCTCTCCTGCTTCTCCTGGCATTCCCCAGTTTGTAGCACTCTGTTCGGTTGTCCTTCCCTTCTTCAAACTGTGACCTCCCCATTAAAAAACAGTCACTTTGCCCTGCTGTTTATTGGGCAGGATAAAGACTCTGTTTGTTCATCAGCCTTTCATGGTATATTTAAAGGGATTTACTTCCATGAGACACCTCCAATGGTGATTCGTTCAGCCAATGCTACTCAGGCTCTGAAGAAATCGTTAGACAGCAACCTTTATTGCAACCTCTGTCTCCAAGCAGGGCTGGATGCAACATAGGTCAGGTTGCTCAGGGCCTTGTCTGGATGAGTTTTGAGTATCTCCAAGGATGGAGATCCCAGCACCCTTCTGGGCCACTTTTCCTGGCTGCACCATTCTGCTCCATCTTATAGCTCCCCTTAGGCTGTGGGAGATTCAGTAAGGTCGCTCCATTGACCCCTCTTCTCTGGACTGAACATGCGTGGGTCTCTCGTCCCATCCTGCTATGGCACATACTCTAGCCTTGACCATCTGAGTTACTGGACTCTAGTTAGTTGGCACCTTTCTTGTTTTGGGGGCCCAAAAGTGGACACTGTATCCAGATGCACTCTCATCAGAGCTCAGTGGAGGAGAACACCCACACCCCTTGGTTGCTGGCTATGCTTCTGTTAATTCAGTGCTAAAGTGGGCCAGGAGCTCCTTCCAAGGAGGACAAGGGTGTGAGGCCGAGCAGTGAAGTGAACTGAGGCTGTTTCACATGTAAGACAGACTTGAAATTTTAGAAGAGTTTCCTAGATTTTGTAATTTTTTGTTGACATTTGTGGGAAAGAGCAGGGTGGGACATGGTAAAAGAGTCAAAATAACCCACTGTACCACATGCAAATCAAACTGGCCACATTAGAGACAAGAGCTGTGGCTTCTGCTTCTTAGACTCTAACTCTTGGGCTGGTCCTTTTTTATGCTGAGCTTCAGGTTCTCCACCTATAAAAGTACAGAACTTCACTAGATCATTGCAGCAGCTGGTATCTACTCATGGTGGTGGGGCAATTGCGGGGATAGAAAGCCAAATGGTGTGTGGGGCTGACCTCAGGATTTCACCATGAGCTCTTCTCTTCACTGTGCCTGCAGGCTCCATTGAGCTGAAGCTGCATGACATGGTGCGGGCAGCCAAGAGCTCAGAGCTTTGCACCATCAAGATGGCCAAGGAGAACGCAACTCCTCGCTTCTCCATCTTCCGAAACAAGCGCATGCGGGGTTGGTGGCCCTTCATCAAACTCAAAGATCAAGAAGATGAGGAGAGAGAAGAAAGGGAAATCAAGCGGAAGAAGAAGAAAAAGAAGTGGGGAAGCTCAGTCAAACCAGAGGATGTGGAGTTCACGGACCCCAGTGGGAACAAGTACCTCCTGACGGTAAGGCAGGGTGGTGGCACAGGTGGGCAGAGAGCTAGTGTTTTGCCTCTGCCTTGACATGGCAACCTGTCCTGCATGCACATAACTTACAGAGGCAGCAGTGACCCAGACTTGTCCCATCTGTGGCAAATCCAGTGCGTCACCTACCCAGAAGACCCAGCTGCAGTGGCATGCAGGGGGTGTTCAACTTCATGTCTTCCTTGGAATTTCCCATAGAACAGTGCTCGGTGAGGGAGCAAAGCAAGAGGCACATGGCTGCCCATCAGCCAGACAGGACAGCAGCAAAGGCTTGCCCTAGGGGCCCTGCCTACAAACAAGCAGGTGCCAACACTCTCAGGGCAGACTCGCTGCTGATGGCTCTGCTAGCAGACCATTGTTTGTCCCCAAGGGTGAGTTTAGCTCACTGCCAGTGTGGGAGCCTACAGACAAATCCAGAGAGCTGGGCAGCACATTACAATACAGTGCCTTGTCTGCAACACAGTTAGTTTCTTGTCAGGCCACAGTTTCCACTGGCTGTAAAGTGAGAGAATGTAGCTAATGTCTGGAGAGAGAAGTTAATTACTCTGAGCATCTGTAAGTGAAACTGGGAGAAAAATACCCAGGCCTGGCAGGGCGTGTTGTCAGCCGGCTGGTCTGCAAAGCAGCATGTGCGGCTGTGCCTCAGACGTGTTTCCCCTCCAGGGTAAGGTGGAAGCAGAGTTCCAGCTGCTGACTGTGGAGGAGGCTGAGAAAAGTCCTGTTGGTTTGGGCCGAAAAGAGCCTGAACCCCTGGAAAAGCCCAAGTGAGTATCTGTGTTATTACATTTAACGTGGATGGACAGTGCCGTGTTTTCAGCAGCTGTTTGCATGGGGACGGGGAGCATCTGCTTGTCGGGAAGCTGAGAGCAGTCAGTGAGGCCTGGGGCAGTGAACACTGCAGACTTGGGGCTGCCAGGGCTTCCCAGAGCTCAAGTGGGCCCAGCAGGACTTATGGCTGCAGCATCTGGGAGAGGACTGATCGTGGTGAGGTACTCACCGTAGCTATGCCGAAACACTGCTTGGACAAAAGGGGCAGCTCTGGTTTAACCACATGAATGCACCCCTGGCCACGTGGGTGTAGAACAGCTCTGCGAGGGCTGTCCTAAGGCTCTCCAGCATTTTCACAGGCACTGTAGTTGTTGCAGCCCCTAGGGTGATCCTGGTTGGAAGCAGCAGGAAGAGCTGGTGACCCATGAAGGTGGCAGGGCACCAAAACTGAGGGGCACACATGGATCCACTGCTCTGTAGATTGAGCCCGTGCTTAGCTATTCTTGCCTTTCTTTTCCAGCCGGCCAAAAACTTCTTTCAACTGGTTTGTGAATCCCATGAAGACCTTTGTGTTCTTTATCTGGAAGCGGTACAAGAAATACATCATTGTGCTGTTCATTGTTGCTGTTCTGACCATCTTCCTGGTCCTTTTGATCTATACCATGCCTGGATACATCAGTGAGAAGATCATCAATGGATAAATGCTCTCTGGCACAGGACTGCTCAAAGACAGGAGTGATTATTGCTGGAATCAAGACTGAACCAGAAAGCTTAAGGAAATCTGACAGGTGCAGAGGCAACCTTCACAGTGAGAGACCTACGAAGTAACCTCTTTTTGGGGTGTCACATTTCATGCTGAGTACCCATGAGTTGCTAAGAAACCAAGTAACTAACCTACTAAATAAGACAGACTCCTTGACAGCTTTGGGAAAAAACTTGGTTTTTGTGGGACTGGGGTTGGGGGTGGAAAAACGGGGTCTTCTGGGGCTGTCCCCACAGACGTAGCAGCTGAAACCAGCTCTTCCCACTGAGAGTGATTCTGCCAGAGATAGGGACATGCAGAGCCATCCGTGCCCTGGCTTGACAACACTTGGCACTTCCTAGGCCTTTGCCTGAGGACTTCAAAACACATTGTACGGGGGAAGGCAGGTCTGGTATGGGGTTCTGGTGGAGGGAGGACCTGGATGACCTTTTGAATGGGGCTCGCATGGGAGAAGGCCAACAGAGCCAAGGTAGCTTCCTGCCATGCCGAGAGCTCAGGAACAGCTCTTGGAGTTCAGGTCAGCTCTGGACATGGTAGCACTTCCCAGGACACAGGCTTTCTCGTTGTCAGCCCTTACAAGCTGCTTAACAGCTTTTCCTGCGTATGTTGGGTTGGATTCAGGCTTGCTTCAAACTTAATTTTTGCCCTTGATTTCCACAGAAATAAAGCTCCTTGGCTGCTCTCTCTGCTGCTGCTTGTGTCTTGTAGCTGCTTTCTGAGGCCAGGGGCCAGCCTGCTGCAGGCAGTCCTTGCTGATGTCCTTCCTCCTGGCTAGCACAGCACTGAGACATTGGCATGGCGTTGTCAGCATGAATCTTCACTATGCTGTTGGGCTGATGTAAATGAAATGAAATTTGTTTTCAGCTTGGTCCCTTGTGCCCCAGGATTCCTGTCCTACACAGGCACCCCGTGACATCATCTGATCTCAAGTGGAGGTGCTTCACCCTGAGTTTTGACAGGACAGATTCCTTCTGAGGGTTCACATCCTGATGCAGGAGATGATGCTCAGAGGGACTGTTGTATTTCCAAAGAAATTAACTGACAGTGGGGTTTTATAATGAAGATGTGTCATGGTTTAACTCCAGCTGGCAACTAAGCACCACACAGTCACTTACTCACTCCCTCCCTGGTGGGGAGAGAATCAGAAGAACAAAAATGAGAAAATCCGTGGGTTGAGATAAAGGCACTTTATTTGGTAAAGCAGAAGCTGTGCACACAAGCAAACCAAAACAAGGAATTCATTCACCACTTCCCAAGGGCAGGCAGGTGTTCAGCCATCCCCAGGAAAGCAGGGCTCTATCACACATAACAGGCATTTGGGAAGATAAAGGCCATCACTCTGAATGTCCCCCAATTCCTTCTTCTTCCCCCAGCCTTGTATGCTGAGCTTGATGCCTTATGGTCTGGAATATCCCTTTGGTCAGTTGGGGTCAGCTGTCCCACCTGTGTCCCCTCCCAAATTCTTGTGTACCCCCAGCCTACTTACTGGTGGTGTGAGGAGGAGAAAAGGCCTTGAGTGTGTCAGCACTGCTCAGCAGTAACAAAAACATCTCTCTGGTATTAACACTGTTTGCAGCCCAAACCCAAAACATGGACCCATACAGCTACGATGAAGAAAATTAACGCCATCCCAGCCAAAACCAGCACAAGATAGATGCCTGTTTGTCTTTTGGATGGGGCAGGATTAGAGTACATTTTGGGAAGAAAACAGTCTGGGCAGAGCCAGGCAGGCAGGAATGGAGCAGGTGAGGACCTGAAGGCAGGTACGAATGTGGAGCAGGCATGGTGCTCCCCTGGGGCCTGGAGTTCAGCTGCTGGGTTGGGGCCACAGAATTGCAGAGGGGGAGCCCTCTCTCCCCCCAGGGGACCCTTGGACTGTAGGGGAGAAAAACAGGCTGCGAAAGGCTCAGGCCATATAGCACTTGCGTGGGGTTAGAGCAGGGCCCTGAGGTGCAACTGTGCTGCTCCCACTGCTGTATCACCCCGACCTTTGTGCAGGGCCTGTCATCTGGGCTGCTGCCTTCGCAAGTGGTGCCCAGTGCTCCCCAGCAGTGCCCAGTGCATCGCAGCACTCCCAGTGCACATCCCTGGGCAGCTCCTTGGCTCTTGCAGCCATGCTCAGCTACATTTCCCCCTGCACGAGCAGTCTGGGGCTCCCTGTGCCTCAAAGTGTGTCCGCCCCAGGCTTCCTCAAGATATTTCAGTTTGTAAGTGCAGGATCTGTGGCCGCGCTGCTGTGCACGTGGGTGTGCTGTGTGGGTGTGTATCAGTGTGTGCACATGCAGGGGGGTGTCTGGTTGGGGTGTGGTTGTGCAAGGCAAGGGGCTCCCTCTGCCCTCTCTGCTGGCAGCAGCGTGACCCTGGCCCTCCGCCCCAGCCCTGGCACAACCACAGCTCCTGCCGGCGATTCCCCTTCCTAGCACCGGCACCACGGCAGCCCTCATCTCCGTGTGAGACTTCATGCAGCAGGCACAAGAGGACCCCAGCTCACCCACCACCTCTGCCTTCACCAGACACATGGACTGCTGCAAGGCCACTGCCAACAGCCTGGAGGAGGTGAGCAGGGAGCCGCAGGGGTGCACCCCGAGGGGTTGGGGTGCCATCCCCAGCATGGTCCTGCAGGATCTGCACCCTGGTTCGGGCATCACCGTGTCATTTGTCGCTGTGAGTGGAGAGTGGTGCGAGTGTCTTCGGGTGTATGCAAAACGCAAAGCTAAGATTTGGCAAAGGCTTGTGACAGATTGTGGTGGCTGGGTGATGAGCGGCAGTCAGTGGGGACAAGAGCAAAGGGGAAGATGTTTGTGCGGCAAGGCTGTGCCTCGTACTGGGCTCACATCGCACAGTAAAGAGAGGACAGAACCCTTTGATCAGACACCCATCAAACTAAAAGCAAACCAGAAAACTAAAGGTAACTCTTGGGGGCAGCAGGTTGGTTTCCTCACTTGTCCAGAATTCAGCTGTGGGATACACTGATGAGGGTTGTTCAGAAGCCAAATGCATGAGTGGTTCCAAAAATTCACAGAGATGGGGTGAGAGCTGGCTGCTAAGCATAGCTTTTGTTGCAAAATTTACTTGGACCAAATGCCCTTGTTTTCTGACAGATGGCAAAAGCCAGAAGACCCCAGTAGGCACCATTAGGCACAGTACAGGAGGGGAAGGTGGTGCTGCATGCTGCTGGGAAGTGCCCTGGGAAGACTCTTAGTGCATC